AAAAAAAACCAATGAGCAATAGCAAATGGCTTACCAGTTGCTAACTTAACTCTTTCAAAATAGTGGGTAGTAATTAACAATTGTAATAAAGTTAATTCTAACTTAAAAGTGAAGTTCTTTTGTCATAAGAGTTGTCAGCCGTTACTTACCTGTGAGATCAAAATGGAAATGTTTCTGTAATCACTTTTTAAATACCTTTATATTCAGGGCTACAAATAAACTTCAGATTAATTTATAATCCACTTTCATCCAGATTTATTTACATCACTTGATAGACTGATTTTTTTTTTTAACTTTTAATTTATTATTTATTTATTTTGAGACAGAGTCTCACTATGTCGCCCTCAGTAGAGTGCCATGGTGTCACAGCGCACAGCAACATCAAACTCTTGGGCTTAAGTGATTCTCTTGCCTCAGCCTCCCAAGAAGCTTGGGCTATAGGCACCTGCCACAATGTCCAGCTATGTTCCTGTTCCAGTTGTTTAGCTGTTGTTTAGCTGGCCTGGGACGGGTTTGAACCCACCACCTTCAGTGTATGTGGCTGGCGCTGGTTGTAACCATTGGGCTACAGGTGCCAAGCCCTAATTTTTATTTTATTGTGTGTAAATTCACTTGCTAAAGATCTGTGTTACTCCCTTAGTTAATATTTGAAACTGAAATTGCTTCAAGCGTGATTGAAAATAATGATATTATACCGTGTCTATAAAGGCCTTCCATTGTTCATTGTGTATTCAGCAAGGGGGTTGTATTGGCACAGTAGGAATCATTGGCCAGCATAATGTTTTTTTAACTGTTTCCCATCAATCAATGCATGGTAAATATATCTAATTTGGTGTTTAAAAACAGAGCTGATAACAACAATATCCAAAAAAAAAAAGAATAGTAATTTTTAAGTCAATTTGATTGGTATAATCTGTTCTGACAATCAGTAGAAAATACTACCTCAGTGTACAAAACTAAATGCTACTTTGTGATCTGATCAAATCTGCAACGAGGATAAATTTATCATACATAACTATAATTTTATATTACAGAGCAAGTTGATGATTTGAACCTCACTTCTGGAGAAATTGTTTATCTTTTGGAAAAGATAGATGCAGATTGGTACAGAGGGAGCTGTAGAAACCAGATTGGCATGTTTCCTGCCAACTATGTCAAAGTAATTGTAAGTAGGGCTGTGTTGTTTTTATTGGTCATAATCTCAGTGGTTCTGGGTGACTCATAGGTTGGAAAAAAATGACCAGAAGCCTAGATTCTTTGGTGGTTTTTGTTCTCTCCCTTCCATTGATTCATTTGGCACTTGACACATTTAAAAATAAAGATTTGTTCAACTAGGTAGTTATTACTGTTATATTATGGGGTTTTGGAACATAATGCCTAAATGCTATCTGAAATCCTGAAGTGAAAGACCAGCACTGCTGGTCAACTGGCCAATCTGCTGTTCTTAGGAGGTTGTTAAGAATATATGTTAACCTTTGAGACATTTAGTAAATGTGAATTAAATGTTCTCTAAAGTTATGGTACCATTTCTCTTCTTCTTTCTTTTTTTTTTTTTAAGAGACAGGAGTCTCACTTTGTTACCCTTGGTAGAGTGCTGCGGTATCACAGCTCACAGCAACCTCCAGCTCTTGGGCTTAGGCAATTCTCTTGCCTCAGCCTCCTGAGTAGCTGGGA